ATAAAAGTAAGTGAAACGTTTGGTAATACTTATATTCCCTGCATATCTAATGTAACATCAGATGATTCCATAGAATCTAACTCCATTTGAAAACAGCATATCTGAGACAAGTTTTATTTATATATTTATTTTTATAATTGCATTGCGTAATTATTTGTAGAGACACAACAGTATAAGATTATTCTTATTTATAAATTTGTCTTCGATGAGTAACGAAATTATTTTTCTCAAAAGATATTTCCTGTAATTGTGCTTAAAATTTAAGATGATTTCTCAATCGGAACACTCTGGCAAATTCTGTGATAGTTTGACCCAGATTAGTCCATTTTCTGTAAGTTCACCTTTTCCAATACTCTGGTTTACCCGACAGTAGCTCAGTCACGTGTTGTCAGATGATCGGATCTCAACCGTAATTCGAGCACTTTCATTATTTTTTGATTAAGCATTTAAAGGACGTATATATGTTAATGTGGAAACGTGCTCGGTAGTTTTAGCTTCACTCTTTGTGGTTAAGACAGCCAGTTAAATTAATGGCTACGTGTATTTTATACTTAGAAGGGATCTCAAAAGTAGGATTCTGATGGCGTGACCTGTTGATGCAAGAATTTTAATTCTTAACCCTGCAGATTGAGGCACTCCCAAGAGTGGTGTTAAGGAAAAAACCAAATTCATAGTTAATAATTCATAGTTGCGAATAAAGAAAGAATCCTGTCAATACTTATATGTTTCTTATTAGTACCTTTTACAATATTTAATACCTTAGAAACTTGTATCTTTAGAATATCAAAAAATATCTACAATATTACGTTCTAAGTTGCTTACACTGAATTCATGTAATCATTCCTTAATCAACAAGTCACTTATCTTCCCCCCCCCGTCTTCTTTCTCACTGTGTCCTTTTTTAACATCAAAAGTTTTGTTAGTCTCGATCCTGACTATTTTATGCTCATCACTTTTCAAATAAAAGGATGTTGCTACCAAACAAAACAAAAAATTATACAGCGAACATAAAAAAAGCATGACAAAACAAATAGAAGGAATTTCCCATTAAATGCTATCACCCTATATTATTTTTATAGAAATAATGTAATGAGTATGGAAAAGTGTACAGCAACGCTATTCCAAATTCTAAAGATATGCTGTTTTTAAATATTTCACTATTTTGTAGTTTAATTTTATGCTGCGCAAAATGTGGATAAATTAATGTTTAATAAGAAAATTTATTAATAATTAAATATTAAGATGAACCTTAATATTTATTAACTTTTAAATATTTAGATAAGCATCTCATACTTAGATCTTTTTAATGCTGCTTTTAGTTATGGATTTCTCTCATAGAGGTCGATACTTACCAGAACATTTGTGATAATTCTGTGTTAAGATTTTCTTGCTAATCTTGGAAACTCAAGTCACCTTCCGTCAAGGCTTAATTTTTAAAATTCAAAGTGCCGGATCCAATCAAAAAAAAAAAAAAAAAAAAAAAAAGCCATCAGGAATGAATAAATCAAAATTTTCAGAGCATATTTAAATTAATTTTAGCATAAAGAAATCTAAAAATGTTCAAATTTTAGATCGCCCAAAAAGGCTTATTAAAAGTTTAACAGTTATAGAAGATTGATAGCGACGGCCGAGATGAAATAAGGAAATATTTTATAGGAAATTCGATGAGCGTTTAGACTAACACGGTAAGGTTATACATCTTTTGTATATTTCTAAAAAAAATTGTAATGTAATTCTATAAAAGTATTGAATGTTTTTAATTAGATATATCACGAATTAAATGTACATTAAATTAAAAAGTGAAAAAAACACATTCTTAAAAATTGCACCTATTGTTTTTAAACAGTTTAGTTCGTTAATTAAATACTCACAGGTTAAATATGAAAGAACATTAGCTTATGTTTTTCTGAATGGCAACAAACTCGAATGAAAAGTGAAGTAACGCATTAAAGTGAAACAACAAAAAATCGTGTTTCGAGATAACTAGCCTTAAATATAAAATATTATATAAAGTTATTAATGACAAATAGTTAAATAATAAGTTAAAATAATAGCAAATCTCATCTTACTCGGAGCTCGCGTACGAATCATACTTTCAACCGCAAATTGAAATGTTTCGCAACTGGGCTCCGGTAGTCTCATGCTAAATTGAAACCTTGCCTTCCGTTTATTTTTAGATGTGTATTGATAAATCCCCAAACATCGAAAATCGTAAAATAAAACTGATGGCTCCAGATTTAAAACCCAAACTGAATCATATAGCAACGTCTTTTATATTTAAAGAAATATTTATATTACATACGCATGTTCTTACAAATCTTTATGACGACTATTTTCACTTTGAATCAAGCCCTATTCCAGCATTTTCAGCCTTTTAGTAGACTGAACTTCGTATAAAAAAACTAAACAATTGGCACCACATAAAAAAAATTAAAAAAGTTCTGGTGTGGACACCACGTGACTTTCTTGTACGGCCTATTAAATTGTACGTACTTCTTACTGCACTTCATTTAAATTATTACCTTGAATTATACTAAATTAACCGATGCATCTAGGCAAGTTGAAATTGCCCTCAAAAACTGCAAATTTTGAAATTAAATAACCCTGTCAATTTTTGTTTCATGGAAGTCAGACTACTTTTATTTTTTCACAACGAGTAGAAAGTTTCCCCAGATATAAGTGTAAGAACCAGGTGACTGCATTAAAAGTTAGATTTCGTTATTTATCCAAAGTGTAAAAAAAAAATTGACATTGCGAAAACATGAATATTTTCATCATTTAAAACGCTTCTGTAACTGGAAATATATGACTACGACGAACGATTTCGAAAATAAAAGTCAGTAAGACGGGTCCGGGGGATGAGTATATATATATATATCAAAGATTGGATTAAATTAAATATATTGCTAAATCGTAATAAATTTCCTAATAATTTGAAAAAAAATTTAAGCTTCAAAGCTTATAAGCATTTATATAGTTTTTTTTTTTTTTCCAAAAAGATTTTGCATAAGAAAACCTTATAAAAAGTGATTTTGGTAACTTTATATACCTCGTATTTCTTCGCGCATTCGGCCCCCTTTCTTTTACTAAAGTCTGTCATCCAAAAATCGCGATTGGAAAATTATGATATAATTTAATTTCAGAAGCAGCTCAGTTACAGCAAGAACACGCAGTCCTTAAATAAAGTATTCTACATTTCAATAAGAAAACATAGTAAAAGTAACATTATAATATCAATTACAACTATTCTACATTCCAATTAAAAAAAAGGTGGCAAAATTAGCATTACAATATCAATAACAACTATTCTACATTCCAATAAAAAAAAAAGTAGCAAAATATTACAATATCTAATAAGATATCATCTTCTTTATTTCCCTGTGTCTTTAATACCACTCGTTCTTATTGTTGTCTCTATTACTCCTTAGGCCTTAAACCATCCACAAATAATTAGAAAACGTGAATGTGCTGTTGACTTAAATCTTAAACTGAACTTAGTACGTGACTGAAATCTTATACTGAATATCAATTCGTGTCTGCTTAGTTATGGTGAGTCGGTGATGGTATGAAGCGGGCATAAAGCTCAACAGTCATTAGGTAAAGGTTCGGCGTGACCTTTGTTTGTAGTTAGTAAGATAAAAGCAATCACTACGTGGATGATTCTATTTTAAAATTTAAGGGTGCTCCGCTCACGCTGAGGAAAGGATTAAGCGAATATTTAAAAAAATTTCAGAACTTGTGAATTAAAATTAAAAAGGAAAATACGTGGAAAGTTTTAAACTTTCACAACTTTAAAACATTTTACTAAGTTTAATAATTTTTTAAACATTTGTTTAGGAAATTTGTTTAAAAAAATTAATAACTCTAGTGTTTTCAGTCGTTAGATTAAGGTATTGTAAACAGGAAGCTGACTATAAAGACTGCAAAGGCTGTGTAGATCTCAAATGGGGGGGGAGGGATTGATAGGAATATTATTACTATCGACTGAAGTAGAATCTTTGAAATAAAGCCGCATAAATGAGGAATGGCATGAATGAGAAATTTTAACCCACCCCCGGCTTAAATAAAAGCATCGTTTCATCACTTTTCTATACAACACGATCGTCAGTTCGAACAACATAGTTTCAAGGAAAGCTCATTTAAAGTCGACTAGATCTGATTGTGAACTTTCATATCTTAATATTTTAAAGCAACTCTTTTACGTATTTGTTTTAGAAAGATTACAGGAAAATAAAAGGAAATTAAGTTCATAATAATGATCAAGTTTTTAGATCCAATAAATAAAACAAAATATGCTAATGTAAATTTATTTTAAGTCAGTACTACTTCATAAATTAAATTTTAAATCAGTGTAGTAAGAATTCATTTCAGAATTCAGTATATATTTAAATTAGAGTACTAGCCTTAAAATTAGAACTTTCTAATCAAAACAGTACGTCTTGATTACTCTATTTTACGTAATGTTACATGTTATACAAATTTAACATAATTGCTTTATTGTATTATATTTTTAGGAATGATATAAAACATGTAATATCGAAATGTTAAAGAAAGTATTGACTCTAAAATTTGCTTCATTCAATTTATAAATGACTGTGTTATCCGTATGTAGATGTGAAGCATTAATGTATGAATGCGTGACTTCTTGTTACTTGAAAATAATTCATGCTAGTAAAATTATGTAAAGAATATTTAATACATGAAGCTGCGGTTCCTTAACAATAAATACAATTTTTAATCTTAAATCTTAGGTAAATCTTAGGTTTATATTTTTACTTTATTATGAGTTCCCTTGCATACTTACATGAGGCATTTTATTACTCTAAGTGCTTTCTGACAGGCAACTACGTCAAATTTAGCAACACACATAAATTTCTTTTTAATTTCATTGAAATTATAAATGTACTAGAAATTCAAATGTCCAAGAACTTTGCTACTTACTTCCAGTAAAATAATAAGAAAGAAAAAACAATTCATAACGAATTCATATAAATACTTACGGTATATTAACTACACTAGACGTATGCTTATAACCCCCACCTGTAGAGTATGGAAAAGGAATAGGAATCATATGATGTCCATGATGTCCTTCTGCTCTGAATATTATTATCATCGTCAGGAGCACGCAACAGATAACATCCTTTTGAATCATGACTGAATTTAGAAATATTTCAAATTAAAAAAAAAAAAAAAATTACCTGAAAAATAAATGAAACACAAAATGTGGGATCATTTTTAAAAAAAAATTCCTGAAATACCACTTTATTAAAAAATCTAATACCATTTTAAAACACGAATTTAACTATAAATGTATAAAAAATAAAAAGAAAACAATGACATAATATTGTTATTTATTCTATTACTCCTTTGAAGTAATTCTTTTACTTTATAAGTAAATTTTAATGTTTCATTTTCTTATTAATATTTTCATATATTACTATCAATACTATTGTGAGAAATTGTCGAATTTCAATGTTAAGTGTTTCATTTCGGTGTTAAGTGATTTTCACAAACCAGCAAACTGAACATGTAAGATTCGAAACCTGGCGAGAGATAGATGGCTTTTCATGTGTTACTGCTTCAAAAAAACCAGTTGTCTGACATTCAAATTAAAATGTGGAGGATAATAACTCGCTCGGATTCCGTCAGCTGGGTCTGGTGCCTTTCGCTAGTCGCCTTTTAAGTGAGAGGTTTTTGTAAAAGGTTATCGCAATGGCGTAAGGTATTATAGCTAGCAGGTGAGAGATCTATGATTAGTACACCCAGCTAACAAGTAAGAGATCCATTTGAAACAGTGTTGATTTTTAATTAATTTATATTTGGAGGATGCTAGTAATATGAAACATTCTCATCATCATTCAGAAATGTGAAAGTAGCGATCAGGACTAGGATAATGATTAACGACTAGAAGGAGAGCCAAGTTAGCTAAGGAAAATAAGAAATTTATTAAAAAAATTATTATTTTCCCCTTTCATCTTTGAAGACATTATAAAGTTGCGCGCCTCCAACCTGCACGCAACAAAGTGGTGACTGCTGAAACTGGAAATTAGACAGAGTCTTGAGAAGGGTTTAAGTCCCTTTTTATTCAACTTTAGAAATTACAAATGCGTGCTCTTGACGCTCACAAACTACGCCGACCCGGCGGTAAAATAAAAATAATAAACTGAAAAGAGATAATAACAAGAGACTAACTACGAGGCTCTCTAAACGTAACTGACCTCACCGCGTTCTACAATACCGCTGATAATTCAGCAAACTCTGAATATTACGTTGAAAGATTAACAATTTGCCGAGGCAAGCACACAGGCCGAAACGCGTGGTTCTTCAATTTCTAACTAGCCACCTCCACACTCGTGAAGCAAGAAAGCACACTTCGAACTCGTTTCCTTTCTATTTAACTCAGAATACTTCCGCTGATAATTTGAATCCTTGCGCGTTCTACTAAAATTTACATACTCTGGCATTGGCAGTTCCAGGGGAAAGTAAGGCTTGACAGGAATTGCTTGACAGGAAAGATAGTTTAAACTTAAAATAAATGTTAGTTAAAATAAATATAAACCCTACATTTGCCGCTGCCAGAATTTGGAAAACTTGGAAGCAGGTCCTACAAACGACCTGTTGTAAAGTTTCTACAATTCTGAACTAACTTTTAAGAGCCTCGTTTACATAAAAAAAATCTTATCTCACAAAAGGTATTCTAAATTTCTGTAGATACTTATTTAAATCTATCTTCTTACAGCAACTTTTCCTGGACTTCAGCAATCAATCTTGTTCTTTTCCTTCCAGCATCTGGAAGGAATAAGTATCAGTATCTTTCTAAATACATTATAATTTACACTTTCTTGACACTGAATACATTTTTGTTTTTAAACGATTTATTTTCCTTAGTTACTGCTTAATTCACATTCATTCAAGTATTCAAACATTAATTTAACTTTACCCTGGCTCTCCACCATGTGTGGTGTCAAACGGGAATATTCGTGTTTTAGTATTGCAACACTTCTCCTAAACACAATGATTTGTTAGAATTCAACGACCAAATAGACACACCTTACTCGACATTCTACAACTCGATGAGCTACTTTAACATTCTTAAAATTCAAGTGTAGGTGGAGAACCCTACAAAACACATTCATTCAAATTTCCCCCTCATTCATCTTTAGACATGCAGGCTTTCGCTCTAAAGCATGATTTTATCTACAGTTTAATACTTAAATTTGAATTCATTGCTTTTGAGCATTTACTTTTAGCATCTAAAATTTTATGCTTCTAGACTAAATTCTACTTTTACATAACTTTCAAGTATTTACGTATATTTACAAAATTCTAATACATATGATTTTTACAATTTACCATAAAATGAATAAGAGAAAATAAATTTTTACTTTACTCATTCTTCGCCAAGCTGGCGGCACTGAAACTAAATTCTTCATTAATACAAGAATACGAAGTTATTTTTACTTTCGGCCAAATTTTGGCTTTAACATAACAGAATTAGTCTTTCGAACAGCTCAGAAACTGCTTGTTCTTAGATTTTACACTTAAAATAATGCTTTTGCCTTAGCTAAATAAAGTAAAACAAAACTAAGTCTCAAACGAGACAAATTGACTTCCGTCAAAACATAGAACTTCGTATTTACGCATAACATTTTGGAACAAAAGAAAAAAATTTTATAGAAGATTTTAACTTATCTTTGAGTTTTCGATGATTGGAACTCCGTCATTCTTTTCTGGCAGAACTGTTCCCACGTTATAGGTTTCATGGACGTCAGTCTTCTCCTTACTGACCTCCGAGTGTCGTCCACGCTAATTTGTTTTTTTCGTCCTCTGCATGCTGGCCTCTTGGAGTAGTAGTCGTCGGGTTGCTGTCTTTTTCGTTTTTCCCCTGGACGGCTGGTCTTGGCGTCCTCCGGTCTGGAGTCCATTCTTGAATTTCTTCTGTTGTTGCTGGTCTTTTCGTTCCTCCTGCTGTCTTTTTAGTTTCTGGAACGGCGGCCTTGTTTGCACCTGACTCTCTGGCCCTGGGAGCGTTCTCCTTGATGTATAATTTCTACTGCGATACGTTGTAAGTGGTGTTTTCCTCTTTACCAAGGTTTCTTTACGCGGCGGCTTTGCTTTCTTGTTTTTCTTAAATGCTGGAGTCTGAAAGTTTTCGTTTTTCTTTTCGGTACCGTCGCCTGGGTTTTAGAAGGGCTAGGTCTCTCTTCAGTTCTCTGCTTCTTGGGTGGTGGAACGGGTGACGTTATTTCTGGACCTTCTACTTCTTTTACGCTTGAGTCCTGCAAGAAACTTTTAAGGATTTCAAAATCATTTTGATTATAGTATTTTTTCACCTGGTCTGGACTTGCTTTACAGATTTCCCCTCTCTCGTTCTTAAGGTACAATACGACTCCTTTGATTTCCTGAATTACATAGGGGCCTTCAAATTTTGGAGCTAACTTTGCCGTAAAATTGTCTGGGGCACTTGATAAAGAAAATTTCCGCTTCAATACTTTATCCCCAACTTTAAAATCTGCTTCACGGCGTTTTCTATCGTAATATATTTTTTGCCTATTTCTTGCCATATCCAAGCTTTTAAGCGCCTGGTCAATAAGTTTTTGCACATCTTTCTGTTTAAATTCTTGCTCTCTTTGTTGCACAAAGAATAATTTTTATCTAAAGGAGTAATTAACTTTCGGCCTAAAAATAATTCTGCTGGGGTTTTTCCAGTAGTATCGTTATTTGCCGTTCTTAAAAGCATAAGCTAACTCATTTATGTAGCCATCCCAGCGCTCGTGATGTGTGCTAACGTAACTGCGAATTATTTTTACAATGTTTTTATTAACTCTTTCTGCTATGTTTGCCTGTGGTCTATACGGAATCTTTTTGATATGGCGTATGCCAAGTCCAGTGCATATGTTTTCAAATATTTTACTAATGAATTGTTTACCGTTATCGCTAATGTTTTTTTATCGGTGCACCGTATTTTAAAATGTATCTGTGTAAGAATGCATCTGCGACTGTTTTGGCTGACGCGCGTGTAAGTGGAACAATTTCTGTACATTTTGAAAAATGATCTACAATTACTAAAAGAAAACGATTATTATTTAACTCGCTCTGGGGGAAAGGACCAAGAAGATCTATGCCTAAAATTTCATTCGGAAATGTAGCGCGAATGCTATTTAAGTACCCGGCCGGGCTGTAATTAATATCATTTATTAACTGACATTGATTGCAGGACCTGACATACGCAGTTACTATTTTGTATAATTGCGGGAAATATACCGCCTCGCGTACCCTTTTTAAAGTCTTTCTGACCCCTAAATGACCCGCTGTTTTTCGCGTCGTGTAATTCCTTCAAAATGCTTAATCGAAGCGAGGCTGGGATGACTGGTTTGTACTCGAGATTTTCGTTTGTTGTTTTCGTATAAAATAATAAATTATCTATTATTTCATAGTTTTCTGCTCTATTTCTTATCGCATCGATATCTGTGTGCTCAAAGCTTTCGGGGTCTTTCAAATATGCATAGATACTTCCAAATTCAGGATCAGCTTTCAATTCAGCAATAATTGTATCTCTAGAATCTAAAATTTTTGAAGTCAACACAGCGCATTTGAGTTCATTTCCTTTCATCGTCCAGTTTTATACGAGAAAGTGCGTCAGCTACATTGTTTTCCTTACCCGGTTTATATTTTATTATTGAGATTATATTCTTGGAAGTTTTAAAGCCCATCTTATTAACCTGGGCGTTAGGTTTTTCCCCGAGTAAAGTCTACCAACAGCCGCATGATCCGAAAAGACTGTTACTGGCGCTTTGCCGAAATAAACTCGAAATTTGTGTACAGCCATTAATACGGCTAATGTTTCTCTCTCTGTAGCTGTATAATTCCTTTGTTTGCGTAGAATTAAAGTTTTACTAAAAAATGCCAAAGGATGGCCATTTTGCATGAGAACCGCACCCTACGGCATAGTCTGACGCATCTGCTGCAATTTCCAGGTTTTCGTCCCCCTCCGGGAATTTCAAAACAGGGGCATTGATGAGCGCTTCTTTTAATCTTTCAAATGCGGTATTTGCTTCCTGCTGTCCACGTAAATTTACCTTTTTTTTCTTTTAATTACTAACAACGGTTCAACAATATTAGCGAAATCTTTTATGAATGACCGATAATAAGAACATAATCCAAGGAAAGAAGAAAGTTTCTTGGCGG